GATATCTCACTGTTCATATCAAATTTCTTGCTGTAATTGACCAGATTACGTAAAATTGAAAATTTTAAATCATACTAGACACAATAAAGATTAAAAACCCTAATTATTGAACTCATTATGTTCAAAATATGCCTTGAAATAAATCAAATGGCGGAAAAAAAAAAAAACCCAAAGTTCTTACCTGTTTTTGTGAACCGAAGCCTTCAATCTCCAAAAAACTCTGTTTTTCTCAACGATTATCACAAATTAGTAACAAAAGGTTTTGATTCATAGCTTTAAGATCAAAATGCCTACAAATTTTGAAAGATTCATGCCCTATTTGGCATGAAATTTCAGAAAAGGCGGAAACCCTAAACACCGAATTTTTCGTGATCCAAAAACAACCATTTTTTCCACCATTTAATCCTTGAAAAAACTGAATAAAGCTGTTTACAGCCTGCAAATCAGATCACATGCCAAAAAAAACAAGAAAAATGATCAAAAAATGACAAATTTCAAAGAATCCAGTGAAGAACACTGTGCAACCCGTGTTCTTCACGGACTCGCCGATTCCGCACAGTGAATCGGCAAGTCACTGTGCGGAATCGTCCGGTTCTCTCTAGAACCGGACGATTTCCGATTTTTAAACCGATCCGGTCCCTTTTCTCAAATTCTGAGTCGAACCGGGCGAGTCCGGTTCGACTCGGCGTTTTTTAAAACGCTGCTTCATCCTTTTGGTTACAAGGGGCCTCATTTAGTGTGATGGTAAAAGGCTCGGGTAGCCAGTGCAAGAACATACATTCGAGTCTTGAGAGTGGCCATTTTTGTGTATAAAAAGCCAAAAGTTAGGACCATTTCTAGCCCACCCCTACTAAAACCCTGAGTAGGCGGAACCAACTTTCGGTCATGGTCCTATTTTTTATATTATCATGCTTCTTTTAAAAAAGAACTACCAATACACCTCAATTCAATAGATCAGACTTTCACCCCTTTCTCAAGTTCCTTTTCATGAGAATGCCGGAGAAGTTTCTTCTCCTTCGGCTTGCCACTAAGAAGAAGAGTTCCCCCTGACGAGCAAGGGCCATCGATTTTTTTCTTGGACCCAAAAAATCAGCAAAACAGTGATATGTTAGTGCATGGAGTTTGAGATAACTCTTTGGCAGAGCCTAATCAAGCCCTAGAGGAGGCTACATTGGAGGACATACAAGGTTTACATCTCTTGAGTGTTACTCAGGTAGACATAGTTGATGCCAATACTAATTTGGAAGTGCAGCAAGAGGTGGTGCAGAAGATACTGAAAAGGAATATGAACCCCTAGTTAAAGTCCTAGAGGGTATCAAAGCTAATATTGTCAAGGCCAAAAGTGATGCTCAAGGGTCGAAAAAGAATAAAGCGAAAGGTAAAAAGGAGCAGAGAAGTCATAGCATAAGGGCAAAGAGAAGCTTGTGCAACTTACCACTCGCATCTCATCCAGGGTGGCTGCTTGTGGTCCAATAACGGAGGCAGCATTGTTATCATAAGTGATGACAATAAAGGGATTTTGGGTGAAGAAGACAATAGCTCTACATCTGCAAGTGAGGAGGAGACAACAATATATGGTTTTTTTTCTGATTTTTATGAAAGATCGTTAGTTGTAATGCGCGCAGCTTGGAAGATGTCACAAGAAAAGGTGAAATTTTGATGATTGTGAAGAAAGTAAAACCCAATGTATTAATTTTGCAAGGAACTAAACTCTCAAACCCTATTGGTTAGTTTGCTAGAGCCATTTGGGGTGGTGGCTCTTTGCAATTTTTTGATTCTCTACCATAGAAGGCATTTTTGAATGAAATTTCAGAAGCGGTTAAGTAGTTTAGTTTGTCTTGGTGTGTGGATAGGGATTCAACTTGATTTAATGGCCTAATGTACCATCCACTATTTCATCATTGAACTCTAATATAAGAGAAATTCACATTTTTATTGTTCAACATGAGTTAATACACATACTAATAAGTGAATCACAATTTACTTGGTCCAATAATTGTGTTAGTAATATAATTATGTCAAAATTGGATCGGTTTTAGTGTGTCTTTCTTATCTCCCGTATGTGTTAAAGCATTACCAACACTCTCATGAGACGATACACCCATTTTGTTTCAAATAGAGAAGAAAGTAATAGATCTTGAGCCATTCAGATTTGAGGTGGGATGGTTGGAGGAGAATGAGGTTGTCAAGATGATTAACAAACATGGTTTATACTGTTGTCATTGATTGGTATGGATATCAAATATCTAATTTTTTTTGGAAAATACAAAATCAGATTGATGAAACACTTCAAAGAATCTAGGCCTTGGACTAGGAGGTACAAGAGCATTTGGTCATTAATATAAAATAAGAAGTAGAGAGCAACAATGAATACCTTGCATGAATATTTTAGAATAAAGGAGATTTATTGGAGCCAAAGATCAATGATAAAATGGTTGAAGGAAGGTGACTCTAATACTAAGTTCTTCCAAGCTATTATAAGTGTGAGAAGGAGAATAATGATATTTCGGTGTTGATTTTGAAGGTATTGGAGATGAGGATCAGGATGGGTGGGAGAGTGTGATTATTGAATAGTTTGAATATGTTTTTTTTAGTGACAAGAAATTTAAGGGGGACTTCTCCAATTCTCCTTTCAAATCATTACCAGAGTATCTAGCGACATAGTTGGAAGTTGATGTCTCTAAGGAAGAACTTAGGCTAGTAGTTTTCAGCTCTTTGAAGACAAGACCTTGGGGCCCGATGATTATCCTCATGGTTTTTTCTCAGAGATTCTAGTATTTGGTTAAGTGCAATTTGCTCTTAATGTTGGAAGAATTTTTCAAGAGAGGTATTATCAAATGGTACTTAAATTTTAATATTTTTTGTTTGGAATTTGAGGTGTGTGCACTTCTAATAAACTCATACCAAAATAAAATATAAAAAAAAGTAATTACTAAACATAACAAAAATACCTTTGAAATAAAAAATTGGTATAAATATCTCTTACTTTTCTTTGTTATATCATTTTTTCTATTAAAGGTAGAAAAAAAGCAGTTGGAATATGCGATTCATTGCCGAGAAGACATTTCCTACTCAAATTGTTTGACGATCCGAAATTCTAAAACCCGGTATTTTTAGACCTTGCCCCATATGATCAGAAGCCATGTCACTTGGTGTCCTCGCTTTTTGTTTTGACTTTACTTATGCCAGGAACAAATGAGAGAATATATCCTATGCTCCCTCAAGAGCATAGTCGAGAAGAGGTTGTCTAGAAAGTCATCTTTAAAAGATATTTGTAAGTACTTTCTCTCTCTATCTTTTTAAGGAGTCTCTTTCCCTCTGTCACCTTCCCTCTAAAGTCTCTCTCTCAAATGCCGTTGCCAGTTGCCTGGAGTAAATCCATCCCAGCCATTCCACCAGCTGTAAAGGCATTCATTGACTACACACAACTATGATCAATATAAAGGGGGACCATATTGCATATGCGCGTTCACATCATTTGGACCCACATCAACACCGTCCATGTCATTTATGGAGGCCTAAAACCCAGCCAAGCTTCTTTGTTAACCATTGGATGAGCTTTCACACGGGGGATGTATCTTCTCAGACTATTAAAGGTAGCAAGAGGACATTTGAAGAAGAGGAATCATAGATTTTACACCATCGATCTCAGTTTAAAGCCACAGAGATGGCAAGGTTCTTACAGGATCTGAGCGGCTGCTGCAATGTCTGCTTCAATGGTTTCTTCGGTATTTTCATGGTAGGATTCGCCCTTGCCATGATATCCATCGCTGTTTTTACATGTGCCGATGGTATGGAAAAAGGCGATCAAAACCCCCGTCAGCATGGTGGTGGTTGTGGCGGTGGTGGTTGGGGCGGCGGCGGTGGTGGCTGCGGCGGTGGTGGCGACGGCGGTGGTGGCTGCGGCGGTGGTGGAGGAGGTGGTGGCTGCGGATGAATTTGTTAAAGTTGGAAAATCTCCGTCTGTATTCGTGTGCATGTGTGAGGGAACATGATCAGGGATGGAGAAAATCCGCTCTTCAAGGGCTGAGAAAAAGAAAAACATAAAAAAAGGATCGTGAGCACCGTGAGCAACCATTGTATATCATTCAGTTGGAGGGCATAAACTGCCAAAGATACCTTTGTTTTTTCTTGACAATATGTACCTTCTGGTTTTTATGTGTATCTAATGTTATTTATTTCTGTATATATTGAATTTGATATATTATTTAAGGAGAACCTTTCTATACTTTCCCTAATTTATAGTAGTCATATCCTTCTGCTTATTCAGCCATTATATCTGAATGAACGGCTGAAATGAATCCAATTACAATATCATGTCTCTATGTTTACTTTTAATTTTTTTACAAAACATTTTGACACTTTATTTTGGACGTCTACTCTTTTTTTAAATTCCGATAATATACAAAAAAATATTTTCAATAAAATAAAAATAACCACAATAGCCCTAAAAATTTTAGGGGTATTTTGGTCATTTATTTTATTAGAAATATTTTTTTTAGGTGCACCCCATTGAGATGATGACACGTATCAAATTTCATATTCATATAATTTGTGGAATTTTAAAAATAAAATACTTTGAAACGTCGGATCTAGATCAACGGTCAATAGCTTATTTGATCTAAATTGGACGACTGAATGGGGGAAATATAAAACTTCTATATAGTAGGAAAAGTATAGAAACTTTTCCCATTATTTAAAAGGCCCTTATTGAGAGAAATCGCAAGAAATTTAATAAATCTTCATGAATTACATCTCTCGATATTTTTGTTATTGTTGTGAAATCATAATGTAAACTAAAATTGAAACAAACGAATGAAACCTTCCCACGAAATTGGCTAGGCAATTGAAATGCCTAGAACAAAAATTGAAAGCAGTCCAAGCATGGCAAGAAAATATGTGACACTTAAAGGGGCAAATAAAGTTACTTAATGATTTTGGAAGAAAGGAGCACTAACGTATTGTTTGATATGGTGATATCTAAAATAAGAAAATCCCATATTATGTGGGATTGGGATTCATATTGATAAGTTTTTTTAAAGCTAATAGAAATTTAAAAAGGTTAGGACTCTTAGGTTTATCTCTACGTTCTAGAGATCTATGTAATAAATAAGAAAGAATATGTGTGCTCTATTTGTGTCACCATATGAGAAATGTGGTTTCCTCTAGAGAGAAAGGCAGTGGTGTCCTATGCATGAGAGGCCAGGCTAGGTGGCTTCCTTTAGAGAGAGAGGTAGGGGCATCATGTGCATGAGAAGCAAGACATCTCCTTAAAGAGAAGAAAGCTCATTTAAAGAGAAGAGAGCTTCATGTGGAGAGAAACACTGTGATGGTGCATCCTGTAGCTTGAGAGACTGGTTTCTTGTAAAGATGGTGCTTCCTGTAGGTTGAGAGACTAGTTTCTTGTAAAGAATATGTGTGCCCTATTTGGGTTACCATATGAGAAAGAGGGGCTTCCTCTAGAGATGAGAGATCGGCGGTAGTGTCAATCAAGAGAGCAAGTTTAAAAAGGTTTGCTTGACTGGGTTTTGTCAAGGATTAAAAAAGATAACTCTACGTCCCAAAATCTATAATGTAACTTTCATTGGTATAAGTGGATTTTAGTTTATCGTACCCTTGGATGTAACCCTTTTTGAATGAACCACGTAAATCTTTGTGCTATTTGTGGTGTGTGTGTTTTATGATTTATTTATCGTATTACAGCTCATACTCTTGCTTATTTTATTTCTAACTGGATAAGTATATAATCTTGGTGGAATCCAACTTTTAGGATTCTTGTTTCTGTATCTAAAGGGGCCATTAAATCCTAACAAGTGGTATCAGAGCATATAGTTTACTACAAGGCTAGTGGTTGTATATTTGGTTGAAGAAAAGTACATGACAAAGTATGCTAGTGTTTATTTGAGGTGGAGCAATATGATGGAAATCATTATTTTTTCTACAAGAATGATAAATGAATATATTTAGCAAAATATGAAGAATTTAAAAAGCTATCCAATGGATGTTGGTATGGTGAGCATATGATTTTTATATCAAGGTGGAATTGTTGGATGGTGATATCCAAAATCATACACATAAAGAAATCCTATATTATGTAAGATTGAGATTGATATTGATATTTTCCTAAAGAAAATAGAAACCCTTAATTGTGAACCATGTTTATCTGAAAAAATGAGTAGAAAACCCTTTGGTAAGGTAGCTAGATCTTATGATTAATTGTCTATTATTCATTCTGATATTTGTGAGATCCAAGTGAAACTTATACCTTAATTATCTTAAGTGCAACTAATTAGGATTATCAAGTTCTCACCAAATAGGAGATTATATGTACTGAGCTGAGCTAAACCTGTCACTAGTCCACTAATGACTCACGTGATAGGATGTCATCGAAGCATTCCTATAATTTGATAAAAGATATTTTGAAATTAAATAAACTTTGTATATCTATACTATAGAAAAACAATTCTGACAAGGAATCCAAAACATACCACTGGGTTTTACCTCTAGTGTCACTAGGCTTTCTCTCAACTTCAATATCCTATTAAAGCTTAAAAATGGATCAATGTATATGGCATCGTCTCATGTTAATCACATGTGTTTTATAGGGGCAGAGAAATACGATGCTGAGCAATTCTTCTTCAATAAGGACGACAAAGGGTTTTATTGACAAAAATGAAGAAGTCATAAAGCTACTCGATGGATGTTGGCATGACAAACAAATAATTTAAATATCAAGATGAAGATTGGTGGGGTCCATGTTATACATCATTTTTGATGTACTTGTATCCCCAGGGCGCATATGGAGAGAGCCAGTAGCAAACTGGTCCTGCCGGTGTCATAAAACGCCACTAAAACCGTGGGAGCACTGAAGAAATAAGCATATTTTGGGTAACATCAAAACAAGTGTCAGATCAGACTCAAAATGCATGAGTGGGTAGTTTTGAATTCCCAATGGACACCCGTAAAGTTTTGTCGTGTTCCGACAAGTTTTGAGTCAATCAGGATGAAACTCAGTTTTACAAATCTAGTTCCTATCATGCTGAAAATGGACCATATAACTACATCCATATTTTTAGAGTCTCAGATGAACACCAGACCACCGCCATCAGATCCAAAACGTCGAAAAATCCCCAAATACCAATTTTTGGCCCAATGGGACCCTTTATGACCATTCTTGGCCTAACTACCCAAAAAAAATGGTGTATTGTACACTATTGCAGTGCAGCCTCGATGAACAATGGAGACTGTGTTTTCTCATTTCCGGATGAATTTAAAATGCTCATAACTTGCTTATTTTGAATCCAATTACTCTCAAATTCAGGCACGAGCTAGATCTCGTTAAGACGCTCGTTTTGGCATATGACATGCATCATAGAGTGATCTGAAACGAGAGTATTCTTAGAGAGAAGATGGCTCGAAACTTAAAATTTCAGATTTAAAAAAGTGAAATCATCCTTCTAGAGGCTATAGCTTGACATCCCGATGTCGGATCGTCACAACTATGAGTTTGTTGGGACCGTGCTTCGAAAGGCTTCAGTTTGATATAATTTTTGTGCGTGATCAGAGGCCGAATGACACTGAATTTTGAGGCTAAATAAGGCACATTTTCTGGTTGCCAAAATCTCATTTTTCGGTGACCTCCCTAATTTGGAATGCAGTCAAACGGAAACCAAAATGGATGAATTTTATCACAAAATGATCATGATATAGTTCTCTTTAATTTGTGATAAAAAAGATCTCTCGAAACAGCTTCCCACCACCAAGAGGGATCCACTTACCGACTCCTCTCGCAGTTTGTGCTAAATCGGTGGTTGAAAATTGAAAGTTTATGAATTTGGTCAGATTTTAGGATCAAAACTCCGATTCAGGTTGATTAATGAGTATCAAAACGTGCATAATAATGCAAGCAAGAATTCTACGACGTTTGATCGTCCGAATTGTCATCGAAAGTGTCCGAAAAAGCTCCCGAGACCTAGCAATGGTAAAAGGCCCCTCAATAAAGGATGATTTTGTCATTTCATAAAAAGTGCTTAGGGGCAAATTTGTTATTATTTCTAGAAACGGAATTATTATTTTATTCTATTAAATGTGTAATTTCTAACACTTTTAGTGGTTTTTGAGCATCCACTCATGTTAGGGGATGTTGTATATAAACAAGTTAAGTCATTTGTAATAGGGGCTTCTTGAGAATTTTGGAACGTATTAGAAAAGCTTGAGAATTTAAAGAGATTTTGGGCTTCTTCTCTTGCTTCTAACTCATATTCTAACTCAAGAAAGGACGAGAGAGAAACAATTATTAGAAAAAAACTATCCTTGGTACCCCTCACTTCTTAGAACCCCAAACTTCCCATTTCCTAGAACCTTTAGCTCCCCACTCCCTAGAATACCCTACTCCCTAGAACTTCCTACTCCCATACCATACACCCTAGCCTACCACACCCTAGCCTACCATACTCCTTAGCATACCATACACCCTAGACTACCTAACACCCTACGCCATCCAAACCCACCTAGGTCATCCAATTAGAACCTAGACCTTAACCCCTAGCCTAAAGGCCAAGCCCTCTCTTTAAGGAGCGCTCAAAGGGACCGTTAAAGGCACTAAACCCGAGCCGCTTTGATCCACTCTCTCTCCTCTCCCCTTTCTCTCTCCCACTCAGACCCACAGCAGGTCCGAGCCATCTCCCTTTCTTTCTCTCTCTCTCTCTCTCCTCTCGACCATAGCGGTCGCGCCTCCCTCCTTCTCTCTCTCTCTCTCTCTCTCTCTCTCTCTCTCTCTTTGCCCCCTCACTCTCCATCATGGACCTGCACCAAGGGGGGATCCGT